GTCCACTTGAGAGATAGGTGGCGGTAATGCACTTATAAGTTTGCGATCCGGCGTGAAGACGCCTCACGCGCCTGCTGTTGAGAAAGAGCTCAGGAGGAGGCGCCGCCGCTCAGGATAGTTCGAACAGTTCGAACACTGAGTGAATCAGAGGTAAAAAACGATATAAATACTGTTCAGTTTCTTGCACAGACCAATCGTTTTGTGTCTTTACACATCAATGTATCATCACGAGACGCAGGGTTAGCAGATAAACATCAAATTTTCATTTTTGGGTGAACTATCCGTTTAAGATTAACTTTACTGTTTTTATGTTGAGATTTCCTTTGCAATCATCCAACAATCCCTTAAATGAACATGCATAATTAAATATCCAATATTAAACTCTAATATCAGCAGGTAACCAATATGGTACTGATATTCTATGAATCCCCACTTTTCAAAAAACCTGACTGATCTCTACTGGCTGAATGTAATGAATGATGTAATGTTGAATGTGCTGTTACCTCAGGAGGGGGAGGTCTGACTGTAACGGGATGAGAGGAACGTCGGGGCGGGGAGCGTTTGGGCTGAGCTTGCTGCTGTACTGTGTCGTAGTACGTCACACCACCGTAGACCTGTGCCTGTGCCTGGAGAGAGATGCACACAAGGAAGTCAAGCATGTACAGACGCTCAAAAAACCCTGTGATACTCACTACTGTACTACTGAAGTGCGTCACAGGATACAGATAACACTTATTTAGAGTCAAACAGGCTCACCTGGGGATTGGGGTACATTGGAGGTAGCGTAGCTCCGGCAGGGTACGGGTAGTTGGTGTTCCCAAAGGTCATTACACCTGGCGGGGGGTAGAAGGGTGGGGGTAGCAGCTGCTGTGGAGGCGGTTGCCCAGGTGACATAGAAACGGGTGGAGCGGCGTAAAGAGCCGGATTGGGCAAGGGCCCTCCTGACTGGTGCGGGTGTAAACCTGAAACAAAACACAGCAAAATATTTAACAGGTTAATGTTGATGTGACATCTGGAATGATTAAATTCACAAGAAAACATAAAGCTGCAGTCCGTAAGTTTTGCCTCTCTGTCGCCATCTCTGTTTGAAAACCTGGAATTGCAGCTGTGTGGGGAATTATCTAGCTTGCGTGGGTTGTGAGTGGGCGTGGCTCCAGCGCGGACGAATCTAATGTTTTGAGGAGTATGTGTGGCAGTCAGTCACCGCACCGGTGTGGATATTTACTGTACTTCGCAATCACAGATTCTAGCCTACGTCTTGGAATATTACCCAAATAAGAATTTTCACTGGATATTGTCATCTGAACAAGTAAGTAACAAGTCTGCCACGTTTGTTCTGACCAACTGAGGAAAAAAGCATTACCATAAATCTCGCTACCAATAGTGATTTAATCTAAAGATTGGTTAGCTCATATCAAACTGTTCAAATTATTATTATTGTTATACTTTATTCTCAAATGATTAATGTTAACAACATCAGCATTGGTGACTATGAGTATAGTGTGTATTAGCGTGTAGATTTCAATTTCTGCACAGTCTAATCTAATTGTCATACTCTTCGAATTACATATTAAGAAATTTTTTTAACCCAAAAAGCAAATTATGCTCCCTTCGAACTGGTTTTCTTTAAAATACAAATCTTTGTAATCCGAGGCAATCTGTAATCAGAAGCACATTTATAACTGGAATATAATTTAATTTCATTCACATGTGTTTCATAAACACAATCCTTTCTGGATTACAATCCGCCATCAAAATGATACATTTAATTATTCTGGCTGCTGTGAGAAAAGGCTATAAACGATCCGCCACCTGCAGGATCCTCACATGCGATAGCCTAGTAGCAGGGACAACTTCTTTATGTTTCTTTATACAAATCAACCAGGTTTATTTTTTTTTTTTTTAAATGCAACATGGATGGACGAATTGATCCCAATAAAATCAATTGCATGCATTTAGACAATAGATTGGGTTAATTTTTCATGCTGACATTAAGTGCAATCATACCTGCAATCTCCAGACCACTTAAAGTAATGGATGGGTAGATTTTTTTTAATTCAAAGAATTTCTTGTAATTAGCAGTTGAAATAGTGTCAGAAATTCTGATATTAGAATAAAACATTCTTTTGAAACACCACCAATGTCTATGGTAAAATCTAAACTTTAAACTGACCATAAAATCTATGATTTAAAAAGCATATATATAATAATAATAATAATAATTATTATTATTATTATTTAAAATAATCTTATATTAGGTATCATAGTGAGGCAAGATGAAAAGAAAATATTGACACTTTTCTGAAGACAGTTAGTTCCCTTCAGATATACATTCTTATAACACTGCTCACCCTCAAATAAAAAATCCTTGGGTTTGCATGTATTTCAAAGTCAGTACAGTGAATTTTGCTAAAAAGCGATGAGTTTGCAGGTATGCCAATACACAAACAGAAAAGTAAATGAACAGACATTCTCATCTTGTTTGGATTGGTAAATGGTCTCGGATCAGTTTATTTCTTTTCTCAAATCACTGATTTGCCTACTAATAGTTTAAAGGGGTCATATGATGAGATTTCAATTTTTCCTTTCTCTTTGGAGTTTAACGTGAACCACATTCTGTTCGCCTTCACCTGTTAGCTTAGCTTCCCCCGCATCGCCATCCCTTTCAAGCGAAGAACTTAATTATACTTTGAGTCCCTTATGTTTGATTACTTAAAGTTTTCAGACTTTTCGTTTTTGCACCCCCATATCATTTTTAAACAGTTTATTATTTGAATTTTAGGGGAAAAAAAATCAGACAGACTATCGGGAGCTACGATTATGTGGCCATTAACTCCACCACTTCAACCAGAAGTCCGCAAACGTTCACAACTCTCACCTGGGTGTCCGGGATGGGTGGGGTGTGGCAGGTGCATCTCAGGCTGAACAAGCATGCCTTGAGGGGGCAGGGCCGCTGGACTGTCGCCGTGTGTGTAGATTGGTCCCTGGAAAGACACTGCATTTGGAAATGCAAGTTATTATCTTGGATGTTCGGCCACAAAAATAAAAATGACATTACCCAAATTAACAGCTCTTGAGTTTTCAAATGAAGGACTAACTAAAAGTGTAACTATTCAGTAGTTGATTTTAGGACACATTCCCATGACCCATTTAACTTAAAAGAAGCAGAAGCAGTACTGCACTCACTGGGTTCATAAAAATGGCCCTCCATGACTCCTATGTGCATGGGTGCAGGCTCGGGAACTGGCCTCTGGCGCTGTGATGAATACCGCTTAGCCCGGCCACCACCAACACCCTGATAACAAAAAATAACAGCTGAAACACAAGGTTGTAGCTTACAACTTTGGTCAGCAAATTCATACACATTTCTTAAACTAACACTAATCTTAAAAGTATTTTCAAAGTCATGATGAAACTGTGGTAGCAAGATGTACATCTGAGTTTAACGGATTTTCAAAAAGCAAAAAATTCAGGGCGGCGATGCTTCAGTTGTTGATTAGCTTTTGAGATGTGGGCACTGCACTCTAAATCAGAGGCAGATGAATGTGAGCTTGCAGGGTCAGGTTTAAGCCAGTTAAATGATTAGGAGATCAATTTGTTGTTACATACTGTATTTCTGGAAAATAAGTTGCAAATAAATTGAGGGGGGAAAAAAAACATTGCGGTGTAAGTCACATTTTACTATATTCAGAAATAAATAACATTTGTAAATAATTTACAAACATTATAAACACTACAAAAATTTAATTTAGTTCCCCTCACTCCACAATTTAAATCCTTTAAATTAAACAGTATTTAGGGGAAAAAAATTATAGTGGCCTTAATGAATTTAAGTGATACTGAAACTACCTGCGTGTGGGAAATGTGCTATATAAATAAACTCACATAACTCATCTCTGTAAAAAAAAAATCACATTATTTAACGTTAATTGTATTATATAAGTCGCTTTGGGATATAAATCACAGCACATTTCAGATGCTAAAAAAATTTCAGAAAATACAGTACATGAATAAATAATTCACAATAAGATCTAAACTTGCATTTGGAAAATAGTTAGGGTGATTTTTCACTTTTATCATTCAGTCTTTGGGATTTTTCTAATCTATATAAGCAATTAATGATGGACCGGTTGACTCACAATATCCTCCATGTTTCCATACTGTGGAGGCCCTCCTGCCATGTGCATTGAGCTACGGATGCCTGTTGGGGACAAAAATGCAGGAAATATAAACCAAACTTTCAAAAAAAAAAGTTTGTAAAACAAATTAATTACACGAAGATTACGTATTACCTCTCATCTCAGCCTGCAAGTAGGAGGGAGGGCTTTGGGCCCAGTTCTGTCCAGCCAGGCTGAGTCGGGCCAGGTCCTGGTCGAGCCCTGTCAGTCCACCTTGCGTTCCAGCATCACTCTGCTCTTGCCACGACTCACTCTTTGCTGCCGCCGGGGTTTGCTGGACCGCAGGTGAGGAGTCATCTAACGACGCTTGCTTAGCGAGATCAGACGGTCGCGTTCGCGTCGCCCTCCGTGCAAGAGAGTATGATTTCTTTTCCACCGGCCTCTCTTGAGGAGACGATTCTCGCACCTGACTGGCTGCACTGCCCCCTTCCATCGCTGGGCCAGACTCTTGTTTGCGTGGTGATGGAACCCTCTCTCTCGCTGTCCTGTAGTGGTGAGCGGTATATGTAGTTGTCGCTGTTGGAATCTCACCCTCCTCCTCTTCTTCCTCACTGCGGATGTCCTCCACCACCGTGGCTGGGCTACGGTCAGCGTGAACAGCATGTGAACCACGGCCCCTGAGCCGCAGGCCCCTCTCACCCTCTACAGGCTGTGGCCGCACTCCTCGAGGTGGTGGGCCATCTAGACTGGGCTTCAAGTGTCTCTGCCCTTCTGTCCTGTGGGGGGCTGACAGGGCTCGACTACTTTGGAAGCTGCGATGTGGGGGCTGGGTCGAGGGTCGGCCGAAGGGTTTGGGTGCTGCAGCGGGACCAGGAGGTGGGCCTGACTGCAGGGTAACAGACTGAGGGGTGTTGCGATGGCCAGGTGGAGGCGCCTGCCATGTTGTACGCACTGACTTCTCACCTTCACGATGGCGCCTAGGCTCCCGACTGGGTGAACCAGCATGTCTGCAAAGAAACGGAGATATTAGTGGGCAACCCATCATGCATTTGGCCAATAAAAACTATCTAGAAAGAAGTATGATCAAAAAATTTTAGATACATTGCTGGTCAAACATTTGGGTAAAGTCTTTTATCCTCACTAATATGCATGATTTGATCAAAAAAAAAAAAAATCAGTAGAAAGCATAACATTGTGAAAATAGTACAATGTAATTTAATACTGTCATTACACGAGTCTTCAGTGTCACATGATCCTTCAGAAATAATTTTTATATTAGGGCTGCACGATAAATCGAAATGGAATCGAGATTGCGATTCGACAGAAGCTGCGATTGTCATGCGTATCTTTCAGTGAAGCACGGTTCTGTGATCAGCAGTAAATCTCCATCCAAAGGCCAGAGGGC